CTGCTCTCTCCAACTTTGACGCCCCCCAGTTCTTGTATAAACATGTGCCTCACATGGCTCATGGCCTCATGGACTGTACCATAACCCCCCCAGCCAGCCCTCTCCCAGACTGGAGGGTCCCAGTCAGCAAAGTTTGTCCCATACAGAAGCCACTGTTCTTCTCTGAACCTCTCCCAGGTTTTTTCCAACAGACCACGTTGATATGCCATAAATTTCAGCAATACATAATGATCAGTCCTGCTCTGTTCTCCTGCATTGTAGCTCCTCATCTTTGTTTAGTCACACAGAAACTTACCCACTCCTCCCACTGCTGCTTAGTTCCCTTATGAGTCCCTGATGAATAACCTTATCAAACACACCTGCAGAACCAAGCTCCTGAGTTTTCAATCAGCAAGTTCCCAGTTGTGTCTTCACAGTAGAGCACCACCCAGCTCCTGCTTTTCTTATCCATCACCTCTTGTAAGCACTGCAACCAGTGATCTTAATAATTTAGTTGTATCTCACCTCACCAATTTCAGTAGTGATAATTAGTATTTCCTCACCAAATATTTTCTCCCAAATATTTTCCCACACACCCACTTTCTTACCCAGATTCCTAAAACCAGAATAAACCAGACAGGGAACAGGGTCTCTTCCCCTTCTTGGTCCTAGGCTTTCAAAGTATTTAAAACAGGCTGAGGGTAAGCTGAACAGCATTTGCCTCTCCCCCTGGCTGTTAGCTAGACACCTTCTGATGGCTGTCACAGTCTGCTCTCAGAGCCTTCTGCAGGCACATGGGTCATCTCCAGGATGCAGCAGGCATCAAAGCAGAAGAGAGGCTGGGCACGAGGAGCAACCAGCCTGTTCAGCTGCTTTCCTGGAGATCTCCAAGCCTAATTTTATACATATGCTTGCAAGAGATCTGTTAGTGGAATTAAGCATTGCAGTCACACCCCATCCTGCTCCGCACTCTTCCCTGCACCATGCATGTGAAGACATGGAGCCACGTTAGCACGAGCAGGGGGTCCATCCTCGCTGGCACTCCCTCTGCAGGCAGACATCCCAGCCGAGGCTCTGCTCAGCTGCATCCCACCAGCTTTGGGGGCGCAGAACTGTGTTCCTCTCCGTGCCCACCCAGAGCTGTACTAGGATTAACGAGTCACTGTTTCGCCAGCGCCTGGAAGATGGCATGCTGCACAAGGGCTAATCTCACGCACAGCAGAGCCCAGGGGTCCTTTGCACCCTCATGCTCATCTACTGCCCTTTGTCAGGGCTTCTGACTTCAGGCTGGGCTGCTCAGTGAGAGAGAAACCCCCACATGCTGCCAGGCAGGGAGAAGGAGGCCATGTTCAGAGATGGTGCTATTCCCTAGGAAGACTGCCAGCTGTTCCTACCGGCCAGGAACCCCTGCTGCCTCCAGTTTGTCAAATACCGCCTTCTGTCAAGTGAGGCACAGTACCTCCAGCCACGTTTCAGAGACTCCCCTGAGCTATTGGACTTCACTCTTCTGTCCAAGTTGGCAGAGATAAGCCACAAAGCTGCTTCCCATCCCTTCCCATTCCCATTTTCCCTCTGCTCCCTCTCTTCTTCCACAGGGTCATCCTGCTGCAGCATAGTCAGCAAAACCAATGGAGTCAAGCACCAAATGGCAGCTTTCAAAGCTCTGCCCAAGCTGCTGGATACTGATGTCTCTCCCTTGGCCCACCAGCTGCTGAGGAGACCAAGTTGCTAAACTAATTCTCCCTGAAAACTACCTGATGTGGGCCAAGGATGGGGGCTACAAATTCCCTGGGGAACACAAAGCTTCCTGAGGTTGCCCCTCTGCCACCCCAACTCCTCCTCCCCTCACCCGTGGCACCAGGAGTCTGTCCCATGACCTTGCCTGCCAGGCAGACCTGCCCACACATTACTCCTTCACGTGTCTGTAAGGAGGGTGATAAAAAGCTTGCTGGGTCCTCTGAAGTTACCAACTAAAATGACAAGTAATTAGAGGGACTGAAGCCTGTTGGCAAGTGAGAGGCCACCTCTGGATGGACATACTGAAAAGGAAAGTAAAAAGGTCTGACTCCTCGTCCTCCTTCCTCCTCCTAGCACTGCTCTGCAAGTCCCAAGACCATTTCATATTGGCATCGTCCTCACCCTGGCAGGTCCTCCCAAGCCTGAAACCTGCTCGTCCTCTCTCTGTGTAACTCTCCCATCACTTCTCCCTCGCAGAACCATTGTGATGCATCAAGCTCTCCTCCAGCTCCTCAGGCCTGGCCACACCGCATTAAAACAGGATTTATGGGCCTCAAGCAGAGACAAGAGCTATGCAGTCTGCACTTCTGCACGCTGCATACCAAGTCCCCAGCTGGTTTAAATCAGGTTAACTCCACTGATTTAAGACATTTAAGGCAAGAGAGTTCCATGATTTACACCAGCTAAGAAGCTGTTGTATTATAGTTTGGCAGCTGCAGGTTTTAGATCTGAAGTTTTTTGGGCAAGGATCCCAAGCAACAGTGAAAGACAGAGCAGCTGAGTGGCAAACTCCATTTATTCTCAGTGCAATATGCACAGAGCCAGCACATGTTTCACAAAAGTCTTTTAAAAAAAATACAAAAATAACCCTGGTGTTCAGCTTTCAGTGCCATCGGTCTGCAAAGTCAGTGCCCCGTCACAACCCCAAGACTCCAAACAAATCACTAAGTCACAATACTATGGAAATGCCTCCCTTCAAAAAAAATGATAAATGTGGGAAACTAAAGCCAGGCAACTTTAATGCAAAAGTCACTAGCTGTTGGGAAAAAATGCTATAGACTGATTAATAGAAATGCAAACACACAAGAGAGTTTAATATTCAGATCAGGGCCTTCATTTCTGCTGAAGGATGCTTAAGCTTCCAATCAAATCTGCCTACCTCAAAAAAACGGTGCTAACGCTACAGAGCCAGATGTGCCTGCAGAGGTGCACAGAAAGATGCAGCATTCAGGGCAGGTGAAATGGCACAGAAATGCACCATGAAAAATGCTAATACTGCCCGAAAAGGAAGGTTTACTCTTTTCTCCTCCAACTTGGCAAAGTGGCTTCTTCAAACCAGTAGAGGCTGGTTTGCCAGGGCCAGGATAGCTGCAGGAGCCCACTGCCATTCCCACACCACCCACAAGCCTGCAAGTGGGCAGCAGAGCTGCAGCCTTCCCTTCTGCCTCCCGGCCGGAGCCAGCTGCACAGGGAAGGGGCCGGGGAGCCCCACCAGCCCCATAAATCACCAAGCACCCAGCGCAGTAAATCTGTCTTCCCTTGCAAGGCAAATATAAATCAGCTTTACTAGCAGCTTCTGAAACTGAGCTCATGAAACTGTAAAAATGCCTCTAAACATCCTGTGCCCTGAACAGACCATTGAAAGCCCCGTCAGGCTGAGGGAGAGCAAACAAGCTTTGCAGGAGACAACAACTCACAGGTTGACCAACTGAGAAAAGGCATTTCAGACTGAGCAGCATCTTGCTGGCAGGCGGCACGACATGCTTATCTTTAGCACACGGTGAAGACAGGGTAGGACTGAATTAGCCGGCATTAATACCGCCATTTGCATTCAGCGTACTTCAAAGCTCTCGCAATGCAGACATCACCAGACACACAAAAAAATTACCCAAGTCTAACGGAGAGCGAAGTACAACGTATTTGCTGGAGCCCACAGAGTAATGATCGGCAGGGGCTGGATGGGACCTTTGGGGCCACCCTGCCCCCAGCCCCCAGGGGGATGAAGCAGGCCACCTCCCTGCCTGCTCTTCCCTAACGCCTGCCCATGCAAATTAAACACCACTGCTCCACTCGTTAGCCAGCAAGGGACAGCTGTACCAGGAGGACAGGGGTAAGTCCAGAGGAAGCCTCACAAACCAGTGCAGAGGCAGGAGCTATTGGGCAGAGTTAACCTGGGACAGGGCTCAGAGGGGCACAGGGGAGTCGCACCTGTTCACAACCCAGCAAGAGCAAGACTGCGGCCCAGATCCATTGTAGGAAGGGGATTATTATGGCCGGGCAGAAGCTCCAAATGCCGAGGAAGCTGCGGGTGCCGGCGGTGCTAGCCATGGCAACGTCTACTTCAGCAACTCACACGGGAGAACAGGCCACCACTGCGTGCCATCCACAAACAGCTTTGAGAGGCTGGTCACCTCCGCCTGGGGCAGGTGTATGGCCAGGCAGGACGCCAGGGCTCCCTGCCACCATTGCCACCCACACCCTGCTGTGGCACAGGGAGGGCACGTGGCCAGCCTGGGAGGGGCTGCTGCCATCACCCGTGCATTAGGCCAGCAAGGCAGTCAGAAGGGAGAGCCTGGGGATCAGCGCCAGGAAGGGACAGGCAGGGCTGGGGGAGCTCAGGGGAAGGGGTTTGGAGCCCAGGGACGCAACACCCTCCTCGTGCAACCAGTCCAAGGCTAGAGAGCATGCTGGTCCCAAGAGAAGCACCCGTACACAGGCGGGGAAGGAAAAAATGGCATCAACCCAGCCAAGCCCCTTCTGCCAGCTGCCTTGTTTTCCTGCAGATTTATTGTTGTTCCCACACTCAATAATAGCAGAGCGAAGGCACAATAAGGAAACATAAGTGATCAGTGGCTGCTAATGAGCAAAGCTTTCCAACAGCTCACCGAAGCCAAGAGGAAAGGCTCGACAACCGCTCTCTGCTGATGCTAGCGCACAGCCGCACCACAAGCATGCAACACCTCTTTCTGCTGACACCCCAAGGGGAAGGGGGGCTTGGGAGGAGCAAGCACGCTTCCTCCTGCCTCACCTCTCCTACCAACTCAGGGCACAATGGCAGGCCAGCTGCCGCACGGCACGGATAACCTGCCGCCGCTCACACCAGTGGAGATCTGGATGTGGGTGGTCTTGGACCGAAGGAAGGAGCAGAACCCAAGGAGCCCACCTCAAAAGTTTTATTAACTTTCTTTGCATTTCAAATAGCAGTGGATGACATCTCCATGCGCAAGAAAAAGAGAGCCTGTGCTGCCGGAGGCAGCTGCTGCAGCAGCTCAGGAGAGGCTTACCTTTGGGCATGATGCGATGCATTGCGACTGACAAGAAGAAGATCGCGTCGCTGTAGTAGGTCCCCGATCCAGCACTGAAGTGTTTCTGCATGGCTTCAACGATTGGAAACAGCTTTTCTGTCAGCTCATTCACATCATGGACTATTACCTGGGAGAGACACCAGAAATATCACTCAGCCGCTGCCTCTGGGGACTGGCCCAGCGCTGGCAGCCTTTACTCAGCCTGCACTGGCATTGGGTGAGGTGGGGGAGGTTGTTAAAACGCAAATACTGCTGGTGGCACTGCAGCTGCACAAAGGGGCCTGACTGCCCTGACCCCTGCACGTCCCCCTGCCACGAGAGCCAGCCAAGTGTGGCAGGGAAAGAAAGGAAGGATTTTTACAGCCATTTCATAACTGTGAGATGGGCAGAGACTCGAATCCACTCACACAATCAAGTGTGTTTGTGGTTTTTTTTCTGGTCCGTTCCCACTGCCTAATGCAACCACATATCTGGTCTCCCATATGGAGTCCATCAGAAGAGGTGACGGTTCGCTCCAGGCTCTGGCATCCTGCCGTTCTGAGGCAAGCCAGACCATGTCACTCACCCCGAGGGCCAAGGCTTGCTCCCTGCTACAGAGGCAGGCTGCAACAGCGCCAGGGACGCAGCCCGGATTTCCTGAACCTCAGCCCGGCATGGAGGCAAGCTCTGCAGCACGTCCTGCCGGGGCTGGAGGGGGAAAGGGAAGACGGACCACAGCACACGAATGAAAATCCAAACATCAGGAGTTACAGCAGAGCTGAGCAACTTCTCCAGATGGATCTCAGCCTGCTTGTGCTAGAGCTCTGCTTGCGCTCAGCCAGCAATGCTCTGCGCTCCTCAGCCTTCCTGCAGCCATGCACCAGCACCGGCCCTGGCACGCCTGCGCAGGTCGAGGCTATGGGCCAGAAACAGGAGCAACTGCAAATGTACCTTGTCAGCTACTGAAATATTACAAGCTTATAATTAATTTCATTCAAAGTCCAATGAACAGGAACTTTCATGTAGCCTGATGCTCGTTATACACACAGAAGGACACAGGTCACTGAATCACACAAGATAACCAGAGGGATTTTCAGGGTAATTAAGAGAGACGAGGGACACGACCCCGGTGCGGATAAGGGGGAGTGCAGGAACTCGAGTGTGGAGACTCGAGGTCGCGCCGCCTTCTTCAGGCCAGGGAGAGCAGGAAGAGCCCCGCAGGAACTGAAGGCCAGCGAGGACACAACTTTGCAGCAGTACTTGGATTTTGGAAAGGGGAGCCTATACACCTTGTTTGAGGGATAACGAGACGTTTCCCCAAGCTGGCCCTGACTTCAGCAGGGAACTCAACCCCATGTTCTCCATAGGCTCCTTCCAAACGAAATGATTCAACAGTTCTATGGTTTCACTCCTTTTCACTACCAAAATTTCATCTGCTTAAGAGCATGGAGCCTTGCACTATACACTTAAACATGTGGGATAGAGCATTTGCCTTTTTTTTTTTTTTTTTTTTTAAGTGAAGTGTTTCAGGTGAAAAGGTGCCTCTGGAGCCTGAGCTGGTGTCATGACCATCCTCTCTGTGGGATGCACAAGGGGCTGCTTTGACACCCAGCGAGGCTGGCACAGAGCAAGAAGCAGTGAGCAGCCTGGAGCTTCTTCCTCCCACACCTTCTTGCAGAAAACGTTACCCAGATCAAAGTGCTCTCGCATCAGAGCGGAGCTCACTGGAGGCGGGGAGCTGCTTATGGGACCTGCAGTACGTCAAACAAGGCAAGGTGACGGGCCCATCCTGACCCCGGGCACAACAATGGCTGAGCCCACAGTGGGGTACTGCTGGAGGACAGTTGCAGCGGACTCCCCTCGGCCCTCCTCCTGGAGAGGCACCCTGAACACCCACTCTCGGCCACTGGCCCTTGCTGCCAGCCAGGCGCTGTACGAGAGCCCTCGCGCAGGCTCCGTGGCCAGTGTGTCTAGCCACACTGCTGGCGTCCCGGCTGCTGGGCTCAGGGCCAAGCGCCTGCAGGAGGACGGCAGGAAAAACACGGAACAACATGTACCAGGAAAGTGCATTGGGAGAGCTCATCAGCAACCACACCTGGCTTTGGATAGCACAGCATATTCCCCAAGATCCCACAGGGGAGGAAACTCCGTTACCGGTACCATTAGGGCAGCATCTCACCCCAGCCCCGCCAAGCTGCACGGCCGGCTTCACCATCGCCGTCAGCACCAGCAGCGCCGCAGGAACAGGCGGGAGAGCAGCACGGCCGCAGGAGCAGATCCGCAGCACCAAGCACTGCTGCCGGCCGTGATCCCAGGTGACCAAACACAGCAAAACACCACCGCTCTCCAGGTGCAAAGGCACTGACCGCCTGTGCAGGGAGACTGAGCACCACCAGCATTGGGATGCACAATGCTCTCCTCCCAGCCCAGCTTGGTAAGTGCAGCTTCGGGGTCTGGCCAGACTGGACAAGCATGGAGGAGAAATACAGCACCCGCGACCGCCCTTGTGCATCCCGCAAAGGCAGCCCGACGTCTGCACAGCACATAGGAAACAGCTGAGCAGGGGGAAAATAAAAGTCAAACCAATTCCAGTCACCTCTGAAATGAGCAGAGTGCCAAGCACTAGTGGACGAAAATCGTGGGAAAAATACTCCTGAAACTCCAGACACAGCATCATCTGCCTTCCCTCCCCTGCCAAAGAAAACAAGAAAATTTGTGTCTTTTGCCCACTCCTTGGTTCAGCATTTCTGCAAAGCAAACTCCTGAGCAGCTGAATCTTCCTTCCGCAGCCACAGGCTGGCCAGCCTCTCCAGGACTGTGAGGGCTTCTCCTCTCTGCACTGCTGACTTTAGCACAGCTTGTTGATCTGCTGCTAATTTTGTACTTTGTTATTTATTTGTGTAGCAGCTTTCAGTAAATCCTTGTAGCTAAATCTGACAACGTTTGCTGAGGACATTCAGAAAAGTAAGTTCTAGGGGCTTCCTGTGCAAGCACAGTTTTATAAACACACGCCCCACACCGAGAAAAGACCCTTTCGATTGATTCACTAGGAAAAAACAACCCACATGTCTTTTCTCTTTAACTTTCCCTCCTTCTCGTGCCGGGTATCTTTGCAGCACTCTTGCAAGTGCGGAGTGACAGCAGCTCACTTACAGTCACCCCGGCACTCCTTTGCACAGCACCAGACCTGCAGAGGCATCACTGTTTGGCAGCATCCTCCGCGGGGCTGATCTAAACAAGCAACCAGGGAGAGCAACGAGCAGAGCGCACAGTTAATTTTATTCTCGGAGGGAACAGAATAAATAAGCAATATGAAACAGCACGGGGAGTCAGAGCAGCCCAGAGCTGCAGGAAACAGGCGAGCCGGGGTCCTTCGTAAGCACAGTACGGGCTACTGAGACATGCCCAGGCTCGCTGCCGGGGCAGGACACGCTCTGCAACTGCGAGCGCAAAAGCCCTGGTGAAAGCTCGGAGAACAAGGTGTGGGCAGGAAGGCCAAGGCCTGGCTGGGTGCCGGCAAGTCCCTCCTCTGTCCCTGCTGCTCATGGGTGCTTCCCGGCCACCTTCCTCCATCCCTGCCGCTCTCCACCCCACGCCAAAAACTCACGCAGGCACCACATTGCGGAGCACCAGCTCCATCTGCCGCCGGCCGTCGGCACGCTGCGCTCCTAGCTCCACATCTGGACACAGCTGTAACGGGTCACGACTGCCCCAGAGCTGGGACAGCCCAGGTCTGCCCTGCTCTGCCCTGCCCAGCACGGTCCTGTGCCCGAGCTGCTCCCACGCAGCCCACCGCAGTGCATCCCCAAGCCCCTCTGCTCTCACCCCCCTTGCACTGCCCTGGCAGGCTGCAGCCGTCTGCTTCGGTCTCCAGGAGATTTTGAAAGTTCCTGAATTTCCTCAGGGAGAGACAAGAGCTGGCCCATGACCTTCCCCAAGGGTTGGGGTCCAGGTCTGATTCCTGGGCTTCACTTTAACACAGGACCCAACTGACCCCAGCTCTGCTGGGAGAGGAGGGCAAGGACGGCTCTAAAAGCAGAGCCCAGATCACATCTTCACGAAGAAAAAAGTAAAGCTCGGGGTTTTTATCAATCCTGCCTCAGTCAAGCTGCCCTCCGAGCACTTCATCAAGCCTCGTCTCTAGGCCTGCTCTAGGAAAACAGCAGAGTGCTCTGGGGACACCAAGAGAACCAGGGAAGGCGAGATCTCAGGATGGAGATGGGTTACTGCTGGAGCCACCCGAGCACCAGGATCAACCACCTTTAACATTTAAGCAGCACCAAAGGTCCAAGCCAGGGTGATGTTTCCTGACAATAAAGATGAGGAATGGGACAGGCTACAGCAAGAATAAAGAGGCGCTGTCACCTGCTGGTGTACCAGAAACTGGCACAGTATTAGGGGCAAGGCTGTACCCTTGAGAAGCCGGCAACAGTTTCTGCTCTGTATTATGAACTCTACCTAAAAACAGATAAGTAGATAGGTCTGAAGTGTGCTGCCAACCACAGCCTAGCTAATGAACCAGGATATGCCAGGCTCTGCTAGAAGAGAGGGAAGAAGCTGTCCCACAGAGCAGATCCCAGTGAGGTCTCACCTGAGTCCTCCAGGCCATGCCGCTTGCTTACGCCCAAGAGATCAGCTCTGGCACAAGACGTACTCACCGAGCCGCGAGCCAGGCTTTACTGGGAGTTCACAAGCGGACAGAGGCCCACCCCGCAACAGACACGTCGCTGTATCCCCCCACCTCCTCCAACTTTTGACTCACAAGCCTGTGTGCCCCTGGAGAAGCAACGCTGGTGAGGCTGCCCGCAGAGGGATTTGGCTTCTCAGAAGAGCAGGTGGCAGTAAAGCAGCCACACGCACAGAGGGGTGTCTGCAAGGGATGTGCACGCCACGGTGGCCTGGGGGTCCCCCTGCTCCAGGGGACACCACAAACCTGAGCTAGGCTGTCGCCCTGCACACTTGCCCTGCGGCACTGCTAGTCCACCCCGCCGCGAGGGGGAGGAACCCTCCTGGAGGCAGCTGTGCATGGCCCCTCCAGACAGCCAGCGCGGCCGCGACCTGACGGCGCGCCAGCACTAGTAAAGGGCTGTTTAAGAAAAAGGAGAGGTGGGGTTATTTACCAACAAATGATCTGCGTGAACAACGTTAAGGTTACATCTCCAGTCACATCTCAGCAGAGTTCAGCTAATATTAAATACCTGAAAGACGAGAAATGAAAAGTTACAGCAGTAGAGGGTACTTCCATGCAACTCTCTGCAGCAGCACCTGGGGACAGGCCAGTCACGTTACCTGGCGTCTCTGAACTTAACACTCCTCCAGTTCTCAGGCACCTGTTCAACGTGAAGGCAAGCCTGACTGCACGGACGGCACTGACTACGTTTCGGGGAGGCAGAACCGTCCCTCTGGCAGGCAGCAGGATGAACGTTCGCACTGGGAGCACTCCCGCCTTTGCAGGCTCTCCGATCCCTTTCCCAAGGACCGCCAGCAGCAGGGCAACAGCCTTTTCTGATCCCGGTCCCGCAGGACCATTGGGAAGCCACCTGCACACCAGCACACGTGGTCCTTGTGCCGA